TTTTTTTAACAAAATACTCCCCCACTTTCAAAAGAATAATATTAAAATATATGAAAAAAGAAAAAAGTAGATATGTATAGCTGGCATGACAGAATAGGTCCTGACTGTTGAAGCAAGAGTAAGTCTTAAGTCATTAATTAAAATAATTTATAAAAACTAGCTACTGTATATGATGCTGAAAAGTAGAGTGGAACTTCGGTATGTGACCTTAATTCATTACAGAAGGCTGTTAGAGTGCCGCTCCATTTGAGTATCGAACAAGTTCTTCCCAATCAATTTTCTGTTTGGTTGGCTGTTATCACTAATCATCGTAGGCCCCATGGTGACTTATTTATGCAAGTATATGGAATAGGTGGTAAGTTACTAAATGCTGTAAAGAGTTTTTATGAGGATAGTGAGGCTCAGGTTAGGGTGTGTAGAAGAGAGGGAGACTACTTCCCGGTAAAAGTAGGTCTTAGACAGGGATGTGTAATGTCACCATGGTTGTTTAATATATTTATAGATGGGGTTGTAAAAGAAGTAAATGCTAGGGTGTTCGGGAGAGGGGTGGGATTAAATTTTGGGGAATCAAATTCAAAATGGGAATTGACACAGTTACTTTTTGCTGATGATACTGTGCTTATGGGAGATTCTAAAGAAAAATTGCAAAGGTTAGTGGATGAGTTTGAGCATGAAAGTATAGTAGTACCAACACTCTTATATGGGTGTGAAGCTTGGGTGGTAAATGCAGCAGCGAGGAGACAGTTGGAGGCAGTGGAGATGTCCTGTTTAAGGGCAATGTGTGGTGCAAATATTATGCAGAAAATTCGGAGTGTGGAAATTAGGAAAAGGTGTGGAGTTAATAAAAGTATTAGTCAGAGGGCAGAAGAGGGGTTGTTGAGGTGGTTTGGTCATTTAGAGAGAATGGATCAAAGTAGAATGACATGGAAAGCATATAAATCTATAGGGGAAGGAAGGCGGGGTAGGGGTCGTCCTCGAAAGGGTTGGAGAGAGGGGGTAAAGGAGGTTTTGTGGGTAAGGGGCTTGGACTTCCAGCAAGCGTGTGTGAGCGTGTTAGATAGGAGTGAATGGAGACGAATGGTACTTGGGACCTGACGATCTGTTGGAGTGTGAGCAGGGTAATATTTAGTGAAGGGATTCAGGGAAACCGGTTATTTTCATATAGTCGGACTTGAGTCCTGGAAATGGGAAGTACAATGCCTGCACTTTAAAGGAGGGGTTTGGGATATTGGCAGTTTGGAGGGATATGTTGTGTATTTTTATATGTGTATGCTTCTAAACTGTTGTATTCTGAGCACCTCTGCAAAAACAGTGATAATGTGCGAGTGTGGTGAAAGTGTTGAATGATGATGAAAGTATTTTCTTTTTTGGGATTTTCTTTCTTTTTTGGGTCACCCTGCCTCGGTGGGAGACGGCCGACTTGTTGGAAAAAAAAAAAAAAAGAAAAAAAAAAAAAATGCGAAGACACACGAAATAGTTTACAGCGAAGTTCTGGCAGGTCGTATTTGGTTGGTCGAGTGCAGAGATTTGTTCCAGTAGGGAGCTAGTCGTATACCGAGGTTCCACTGTGTATCTTAAAATGCATGTGATCAAATATGCATCAGCATGTAGTTTTGACTAAATATAAGTGGAGGCAATTTGAACTTTGTCTTATTAACAATAATTATTAAATTACGAGTTGTAGCAGTAAACTTCTTTGCTTTGATGTTAAATTTATGACATTTATATATAACAATAGAGCATTAACCCTTTCAGGGTCCGTCCCGTAGATCTACGGCTTTACGTTCAGGGTCCAAACCGTAGATCTACGCCATGAGCTCAGCTCACTCTGATAAACTGTGAGTGGTACATTTGGGCCTAGATATGAGAGAATACATCTATGTGGTATGTGTGCACCACATAAAACAGATCCTGCAGCACACTGTGTATAATGAGAGAGAAAAAATGAAATCATGATTTTTCGATTAAAACAGCAACTTTGCAGTGTTTTTTCGTATGTTTTTTATAGTTGTATTTGCAATTTCTTGGTCTCATTTGATAGAATGGAAGATATATTACAGAAACAGAGATGACTTTGATTGGTTTTAGCACTAGAAATGGCTTGAAACTGAGCTCAAAGTAGCAGAAATGTTAAATTTTTGCCGATATTCAAGAGTAAACAAACGACCTCACACGTCTAATACACGTCAGCTGGTGGGTCTAATATACATTCACAAATATGGTGATGATATTTATACAATTATTACAGTATTGCATAACAGTAAATCTTCTATTTTTTCGTGTGAATAAAAATTCATTATGTGAATAAAAAATCAAAATGGAATTTATTTGTAAAGCCTCAAAACATAACTAATGAACAGAGGAAATGTTAGTTTAGTGCCAGGAATGCCTACATTGTTCATTCTGGACCCTATTTTGAAACTGGAATATTTTGAACTTTGTGTTAAATTGGCCAAATTAACAATTTCCGATCACTTTATTTTGTAGTTGAAACAGTTGACTTGGCGATTTCTTGTGCTCAATCGATAGAATAGAAGTAATACTAGTGAAATAGCTAAGAATTTGGTTGATTGGAATAATGTAATTGGCCTAAAATGGGAGTCAAAGTCGGCAAAATCGCCGATTCGTAAATATCACTGACACATCAAAATTCGCGAGAGCATAATTTCGTCAATTTTCCACGAAATTTCGTACTTTTTGTTTTATTACCTTCGCAAAAAGATTCTCTACGATTCCATAAGAAAAAATAACAAATTTTTTTTTTGAAAATTCTTGGACACTGGTGCGTGACTCCAGATTTGGGCCTTGGACCCTGAAAGGGTTAACCCTTTCAGGGTCGACAGGCCCTCTCAGAGACTTGTTCTCAGGGTCGGCCAAATTAAAAAAAGAAAAAAAATAGTTTTTCTTATGAAAAGATAGAGAATCTTTTCCCGGTCATAATGACACCAAAAGTATGAAATTTGATGGAAAACTTACGGAATTATGCTATCGTGAAGGTAGCGGTCTCGGCGATGTTTACTCATCGGTGATTTTGCCCACTTTGAGCCCTATTTTCGGCCAATTCCAGTGCACTTGTCGACAAAAATCATAACTATTTCGCTAGAACATCATTTTTTCTATCGAATGAGTATGAGAAACCACCCACTTACCAATTTCAACTATCCAATACAGTGGTCAGAATTTAGCAATTTTGCCAATTTCACACAAATTTCAAAAGATGCCAATTTCCAAATAGGGTTCAGAATAAACAAGAAAGACATTCCTGGCACCAAAATAACATTTCCTCTGTTCATTAGTCACGTCCCCATGCCCCTCTTACGTTCTTTTGCTGTCCACTTTGAATTATTATTCTCACAAAAAAATAGAAGATTTACTGTTATGCAGACTAATGCATTGGTGTAGAAATGGTATAAATATTATCAGCACACTTGTGAAAGAATATTAGACTCACCAGTTGACGTGTATTGGACGCATAGCATGATTTGTTTACTTTTGAACTTGGGTAAAAATCGAACATTTCTGCTACTTTGAGTGCAATTTCAAGGTAGTTTTCTTTGTAAAACCAGTCAAAATCATCTCAATTTCTGTAATATGTCTTCCATTCTATAAAATGAGACAAGGAAAACTAGACTACAACAATAAATACCATACGAAAATACAGTGCAAATTCGCTGTTTTAATCCAAAAACACAGTTTTTTTTCTCATTACGCACTGTGTGCTGCAGGATTTTTTTTATACCGCACACACTGATCACATAGACCCATTCTTTCATATGTAGGCCTACCAGCTTTCTCTCACTAGATTTGAAGGCGCTAGAATTTAGGTGTACTAGTACGTCAAAAACCCTGGTGCCTAAGCCGTACTATTACAGCCGAAACCCTGAAAGGGTTAATTACAAGAACAAAGTCTTGAAACACAAATTCAATACTAAAAAAATGTAGAAAGAAATATGTTTAAGGAAACTACTGAAAGGACATCAGAAGTTTTGCCAATGATGCAACAAAGGAGCCAGGTGTCCAAATTCAATGTTAGAAAACTTTGTACTTCAAGCAGAACAGATTAAAGATAGTTTCTAAAATGACAACTCAGATTAAAATATCCAGATATCTTTCAAATTACTGTATGAATTTCCTTCACAAAAAATCCTTGTGATCTGGAAATCAATTAGTCAAATGATGCTAAATGAAGTTTTTATTGTGAAAGGGTAAAACATTTCATGCAGACATCTAGCATGCATGTGCAACTCTGCTCCTATTATCTTAGATTTTCAGAAGAATTTCCTATCAAGACATGACCTGTAATGCAGCTGAAGGATAACTGTTATAATCATACAAGCATCATAGTTTTTGTTTTTTTTTTAACACCAGTTGTCTCCCACCGATGTAGGGTAACACACACACACAAAAAAAAAAACTTTACTGTCGCTCAATCCATTTACTTTTTATGTTCCTAAACGACTGAATTTCTATTATTTATATTTTCTCATTTATTTTTCATAAGTGCATAAGTTTATTGTACAAGTTGATATGGTGCTTGTGTGGTGTCCATATTATTTTAATAAAAATGTCAAGAAATAATGATAGTGCTGAAGTTTTTTGGAAGCATATTTTACTTTTTTTTTTTGAAAATTAGTTTTATGGATAATTTTTTCCACTGCTTTTGAAATAGATGCACTAACATATTCCACTAATATATTCATATATTCCACAATGACTGATTCCTGGGCAGCTACAGTTATGTTACTGAATACTTTAAGTTCCAATAATTTTATTAAGTTTTCCTGAAGATCAAACATACTCAACGAGGCACTAACTTTAAAATATATAATGAGCATCACATGAAGATTTTAATTAGTTTCTCTTAGCAGGACAATTACCAGGGAAAAAAAGAGGAGCTAATGTTCACTTTTTGTCAAGCACCCTTTATAGATAAGAGATAGTGACTATATTAGGTTTGCTAAGTTAATTATCCCTACGGACTATATTAAAGAGTAATATACCTGTGATGTCTGCTCCTTCATCCATTTCTGCTAAGGCATCAGGTTCTTGGAACTGTAATTCTTGGTAGAGCGTGTTTCCTGTTCGCTCCTCTCTGAAGATAATTGATAATATATCTATTAATAATAAATTATCTGATTTTTTATAACAATTACACAAAATTCTTTGACAACATTTTTGTATACACTACTTGGCAATTTCTTTTTTTTATAACACACTGGCTATCTCCTACCAAGGTAGGAAAACCCAAACAAGAGGAAACACATTCAGTGTCATTCATTCAGTCTCTGTCATGACAAAAGTATGTCAACACAACAGTTCATATAATCCTCTGAACTGCGACATACTCACTCTTCCTTTAGTGCAGGCACTTCTTATTTGTCATATCTTTTATAGGTAGGATGACCCAAAAGAGAGGAAACATTCACCATCATTCTTACCTGAAGTGTGGCCAACAGCACAGTTCAGATGACTCTTTGAACTGCAACATCCTTACTCTCTCATTTAGAATGCGGGTACTTCTTATCTTTCATATCAAGTTTGTTTCATAAAACAGCAGCTCATATCTGCTTAACATAAATGTTACTAGTAACCAACATTTAAATCTAAAATGCAATATTCATGAGCAGTTAATATACAATATAATACAAAGGGTTATATGTTAGATAGGAGTGAAGAGAGACATTATTTTTAATGGATGGGCTCTTGGAGTGTAAGCAGGGTAATTTTAATGAAGGGATTCTGAGAATCTGGTTAGCCAGGCTTGAGTCCTGGAGGTGGGAAGGGCAGAGCATGCACTCTGAAAGAGAGGTGGGGATGTTGAAGTCAAGAGAGAAATTTGACTGTGATGTTGGCACACTTATGGAAAGATGAGGAGTTAGTGAGTGAATGTGTTTTCTTTTGGAGTGACACTGCTTTGGTGGGAGACAACCATCATGTTAAAAAAAAAAAAATACTGTAACCTTTGAATTTTAGGATATGAAATATGTAAAATGCTAATATTCCAAAACTACATGAAAGCATATGAACTCACTTATGTTTTGTAGTGGTTGACTTAATTCTGCCAGGTGGTTTACCCTCAGGACCAATACTGGTGTCCATAGATATGTCCTCAAGATCTTCCATCTCTGGTGATGACATAACTTCTGATTCTGGAGTAAATCCATCTACCCATCCTCCTTCTGAAAATGGCCAAGGAAGAATCCTAAAGATTTTATAAATTTTTATGCTTGATATGGGTAAAGAAAAAAAAAATGAAAGTAGGTATGTTATTTCATATTTCAGCCTTAAACTGTTACCTATTTGGACCTTGCCACCAGCTCTGTGGTAAATTTTTAGTAAATTTTTTTATGTTTCTTTAACACTTTTATGTAGACCTCAGACGTAAAAAGCTCCCATGGGGCCATAGATCTGTGTGTGAAGCCGTTTATGAGTCAATAATTCTGGCATTATCATCTTTTATAATCTTTAATCTTTATGTACAAGGCTGATCTGCTAATCAACATTTTTAGTCACAAAATATATGTACCTCTATTGTCTAAAATTCTATTACAATGTAAGATATTTCATAGCATAATTTTCATGTGAACTATACTTTCATGATTTACAACAAACTCACTTCAAACATAAATTTTTTATTTCATCACGGAAAATGATTCCCTATGTAATACTGTACAAGTGTTAGTTACCTCAGACGTTGCCAGTGGCCATGAGGCTTCACACAACTCCTGTACCATGTTGGATAAAACTAGGCATTTCTTGGGAACAACAAAGATCTTTAATTGCTAGCAATACTGGTTTTGACTAATAATGTTCTGTGGCAGTAATTTGTTTACTGCCTTAACCCTTTATCGGGGTGGGCCGAAATAATTCGGTATTGATTACGTGTTTTTGGCGCGTGTCATACTTCGCGCCCCGCGCAGCCAGCTTCCCGTTCTTTAGTTCCAACCAATCACAAGCCTTCCCTGAGTCTCTTCAGCTAAGTACAGTTCGCTTCTGCCGCCTTCCCATTGGTTGAGAGATCAAAATATAAACACTAGCGGCTTTGCTTCGAACACACGCGCATTTTTCCCTCCACCCTTGCTAATCTACTCTTGGATTATATATTCTACAATGTCGGTAAGTACTGATTGTTGTGTTTAGTGCTTACATGAATAGTTTAGGCATATTTTGATATATACCTAAAGTCCGTGTGAAGCATAATATGAGTGTAGCATGTAGTTGAAAAAAGTGCATGCATTTTAGTCCGAATTATTTCGGTATTGCGCGAGTTTCCGGGAATGTCCAATTTTAGTCAAATAAATATTTATAAAAAATTTTCAATTGCATATATGAACTCTGTAGTGGTCTGGATTTATACAGGAGGTTTCTATTGTCCTTCCAGTTCCATGAGAGGCTGTTTTATGGGGAGCAGTCGACCAGCAGGTCGAGGTATATCTGCGTTTCTGAAGACAGTGACTCAGAACCAGAGGTAGACGAACCAGAATTGCTGGATAGTGGTGATGAATACTTGCCAACGGATGCACAGGATGCAGAGATGTCAACTGATGATGAGGAAGAAAGGGAAGAAAGGCCAGCCAAAAAGCAGAAAGTAATGAGGAAAAAGAAAACTTTTAGGATTGAGGAATACCCGGATGAGGAAGAGATCCATGAGAATATTGCTCTTCAAGTTTCATCTGAGTGGACCGTAGATGACATTGAAAATGATCCTTTGCCGGCATATGAACATGAAAAGCCTCTTGCAATTAGGTCTCCATATGAGTATTTTCGTATGTTCGTTACTCCAGCCATGATAGATAACATAGCATATCAAACAAATTTGTATACAAGGCAACAAGACGTAAATAGTACTTTTTCAACAGATTCTGAAGAGATCATGAGGTTCATAGGTATTTTGTTGTTCATGGGTATTAATTCACTACCATCCCTCGAAGACTATTGGAAAGCTGGTTTTAGGAGCCAACAGGTTGCAGAGAGCATGGCGTCTAAGAGGTTTAGGTACCTTAGAAGTCATATTCATTTCAATGACAACACAAAAAAGGATAATGACAGATTCTACAAAGTAAGGCCTCTTTACACTGAACTAACTAATGCTTGCTTGAAAATTCCAGCTACACCCAAGCAATCTATTGATGAAGTCATGGTTGGTTTCAAGGGTAAAACTGCTGGAAACCTAAGGCAGTACATCAAAACAAAACCAGATAAGTGGGGTTTCAAACTTTTTTGTCGTGCAAGTCAAGATGGACTCATACATGATATACTCATGTATCAAGGCACAACAACTTTTGACACACATCCCATACAGCTGCCACAGGAAGAATGTAAACTTCCAATAAGTACAAAGATTGTTCTGGTACTTGCACAAACTATGAACAAGACAAACACATCAGCAATCTATGCTGACAATTTCTTTTCAAGTATGCCTTTGGTCAAGCTACTAAGAGATAAGTATAACTGCAGATACACTGGAACAGTACGTGACAATAGATGTGGTAAGCCACATCTGGTGCCTATCAAACAAATGGAAAAAAACAGTGTGGCCAGGGGCAATTTTTGCTTCAACAACAATGATGGTGTCCTTGTTGTACGATGGAAGGGACACCAAAGTTGTGACTTTAGTGACAACTGATATTGGGGTCGAGCCCATGAGTCTTGTTGAGAGATACAACAAGGGTACAAAGAGGAAAGAGAAAATATCGTGCCCTGCAGTCATCAAGAACTATAATGCAAACATGGGAGGTATTGACAAAAGCAACATGTTGGTGCATCTCTACAAAACACCAATGAAATCAAAACGTTGGTACATGCGGCTATTTGCCTATATTATTGATCTTGCTGTTGTGAATGCATGGGTGCTTTATTGCCGTGATTCTCGAGCAATAAAGCAAAAGTGTATGCAACTGAAGTATTTCAGGAATTCTATCTCTGAAATTGCAAGGTCTAAAGGACAAAACCTTAGAGGGAGCAGCCTAAGAACAACTCCAAGACCTTCACCAACTAATTCACCATGTACTTCCAATGGTGTTGGCATAGTGAAACCTGGGAGGGGAACACGTGCAGAATTGCCTGATGACAGTGTTAGGAAAGACATGACTCTAATGCACTTTCCAATGGCAGGGCAAAGGCCGTTTACTTGCAAGTATTGCAGCACCTCGAAAAAAACGGTAACATCGTCATTCGTCTGTAGTGTATGCAAAGTAAATCTGTGCATAAAGACTGATAGAAATTGTTTCACAGACTTCCATCTTGCCAATTAGCAATATAGAATCATTGGTCTTCCAAATGAATCTCAGGAATATAGGGATTGAAACTTGCATCACTTTGCAATTTGGCATTGTTGATATTTGCTTCCTTTTTATATTTTTGTAAGTATTAAAAAATGTTTTGATAAAAGTTCCATTTATGTTTTTTATATTGTCTGTTTGTATATTAAATTTAAAAAATTGTTTTGGTGTGTTTTATTAACAATTGCAAGTTTGCAACATAGAATTTTTTAATCACTTTGTCGGGGGCGGCCTAATATTTTCGGTCTTCGGAGATTGGCAATTGCTCGAAAACTAACCATCAGAAATCAATTTATATGGGATCAGTGACCTTGTATTGAGTTACTCTATCCACCATAGGGAGTTCAGTTCGAATTTCAAATTTTCGGACCAATTGCGCGATGAAGGGTTAAACACAAAGAGTAATTTTCACCGATACTGAAGTGTACAGTATAATGAACTCTCCAATCGGCTGTTTTTTTTAAATATCCTGTACCGGTAAAAAGCATCTATAGCAAACCTTTTATTACTTGCTTCTCTCACTGAAATATGAATTTACAAAATGAAATGCCCAAAGTAATATATTTCACAAGCATGCATTTTAATACCTCAACCTACCACCATGCACACTTTATATATAATTCAAAATATTTGTACCATGTGAAGTACCAGCCATATCGATTCACTACATTCACAATAAATGCTATATTTATATATACACAGTATTCTCTAACACATTACATAATCCAACAAAATTAACATGCCAAGTAATGTTCAGCTCTGCATGATACACTGGAGGAAATCCTTTCATAAAGAATATAAGTCTAATATTGTCAAAGCTCATTAAAAGCAATAAAAAGAAGGGTTGTAATTACCTTTTCTGGAGTGCTATAGAATCATGTCTGAAATAGGGACAAACTACACTATTCATTGTAATCAATTTATTCTCACTAAAATAATGATGATTTAACTCTTTCAGGGTCGAGAGGCCCTCTCCTAAACTTGTTCTCAAAAAAAAAAAAAAAAAAAAAAAATCTTGTGAAATGATAAGAGAATCTTTTCCCAATCATAACAACACCAAAAGTATGAAATTTAATGGAAAACTTATGGAATTATGCTCTCGCTAAGTTAGCAGTCTTGACGATGTTTACGAATCGGCGATTTCGCCCACTTTGAGCCCTATTTTCGGCCAATTCCAATGTAAAAGTTGACAAAAATCATAACTATTTCACTTGAACTCCATTTGTTCTATCGAATGAGTACAAGAAACCACCCATTTACTGATTTCAACTATCCAATAAAGTGGTCAGAAATTGGCAATTTTGCCAATTTCACACAAATTTCAAAAGACACCAATTTCCAAATAGGGCCAAGAATAAACAAGACAGACATTCCTGGCACTAAAATAACATTTTCTCTGTTCATTAGTCATGTCCCCAGGCCCCTCTTACATTTCTTTTGCTTTCCACTGAATTTTTATTCTCACAAAAAAATTTAAGATTTACTGTTATGCAGACTACTGCATTAGTGTAGAAATGGTATATACAATATCAGCGCACTTGTGAAAGAATATTAGACTCACCAGTTGATGTGATGCGTATTGGACGCGTGGTATGATTTGTTTACTTTTGAACATTGGCAAAAATCAAACATTTCTGCTATCTGAGCTCAATTTCAAGGGACTTTTCATTGTGAAACCAATCAAAATCATCTCAATTTCTGTAATATGACTTCCATTCTATAAAATGAGACCAGGAAAACGAGAATACAACCATAAATACCATACGAAAATACACTGCAAATTCGCTGTTTTAAGCCAAAAACACGGTCAGTTTTTTTTTTCTCATTACGCAGTGCGTGCTGCAGGATTTTTTTTATACTGTGCACACTGACCACATAGACCCATTCTTTCATATGTA